TACATTGGCCTAATCTGTTTCTGTGTCAGGATTTTACTGCTTAAAATTAAGATAGTATTAATACTTAATTCATGGAATTAGGGTATTAATTGAAAGAAATACCATAGAGAGAGGAATGATGGATTGTTACGATGAGGGTCTAAATTTATTTTAATTTTCCATGAGTGGCTGAAGCAAATGCTCAAATTTTACTTTGAATAGAATAAGTGATAATAGAAGTTTGTAAGTTATTGCACACAGAGACCTGCCCTGCATTGAAATCTCACCAACACATCCATATATGACTATCATCAAATTTCTTGATATCAGGCTACTTCCAAGATGAACATAGAACTCAGCTTAACTGAAAAAAAAATGGAGGTGTAATGGAGATTGGATAGAGGGTGGAGAGCAAATGATATAAATACAGTAGTCATGAGAAATTATCAGAAAAAGAGAATTATAAGATCTTTAACAGATTGACAGCCGTCTATATGATGCTTTATCACTAAGGTGCAGGTAGGCACATTTATTTGTAAATCTATTTATGATGCACATCACGTCCTGGGAACTTGAAAATTCACAGTGCAGCTAGTCCTCTGAATGTGAGTGAAGTTCTTTTCTATCCTTCTGCACTATGAACTCGGAGTTGCTGCTGCTATGAACCAGTACGTACTGCAGTGAAGCACGCTGCATGCCATGTGATGTTACTTGCATGCTGCCTTTCAATTCAATCCATTTTGCAACCTGCCAAATTTCTACTCTATATTTAAAGATAAAAAAATAAATTAATAGGTAGTTTGAGCCTTGTCACCACAGTGACAACAATTGACTGCCTCTCAGTAGATATTTACTTAATGTAAAACAAACAACAAAATAATGAGCATCCTAAGCTTCATAACAAATATTGCTCCTCTGAAAGGATTCAGAAATGTTTTAAAAATCCACACACCCATTCTCCTTCACATACTACGCACAACCAAGATCTGCTACTGTGAGGAAAAAAAAATGCAAGAGAAACTTCCCCTTGTATTTATTCTACTCTCATTTAGTTTGTCACTACTCTTGCCCAAATATGCATGTGTGAAGCAATGATAAGCCAAGAAAAGGATAATATCAATTTCAGAGTTGGGGGGTATGGCTGGATTTGGAGGGAGGGTCAGTGGAAGGAACTAAAGGTGGGAAGAGATGAGGAAAGTAATTTAATTCTATTTTAATTAATGGTGCACTATTTAAATTGAAGATAAAAGCCTGAAGAGAAAGTGTTATGTATTTGACTCAGCCAATCTATCCACAAGAAGAGACACTGAGATTTAGCACAGTCTTCCTGACCCTAGTACACTCAGGCTATTCCAAAAGTCAGAATGAATGAGGCAAATTCCACTGCCACTTACTTCTTTCTTAATGGGCTCTGCAGTGCTAAGGATGGCCTAGCTCTTAATTTGCTAAAAACACCTACCTTGAAAAAAACTGCACTTGACCATCAAACTTGTGCTGCTGCTAGTTACTTAAACACTTTGACCTCAGTATCAAGAACTTTTAAAATAACCAGCCATTTTCCCCCTTTTCTTTAGCTGCAGGCCATTGTTCTGTGTCCTTCTTTCTTATGACATTATAAATGATGTCCTTCCCTTAATCTCAGGGTTACCTTGAAGATATTTATAGACCTGGTTCTGATCCCTCTGAGGGAGCTCATCAGTGTAGACTTTACAAACTCACCATTTTGTACTTTGAAACTTCACTTTCTAACGTTTATTTTGGCTGAAAAAAAGTAAGCATCAAAAAAAAAAAATAACCCACTCTTGCCCTTGTGTACTTTTTAAAAAGTATGTGGATTGAAAAATATCTTAAAAAGCAAATCACAGGAGCTGGAAACATGGCTTAGCTATTTAAAGATCTTGCTATGCATGAATGCAAGAATAGGGGTTTGAGTCGAAGCCTAATACCTAAATAAACCTGGGCCCAGTAGCACATATTGCTGTTATACCTTTCCCGGAGAAGTAGACACAGAATAGTCACACACCCTTTTTCTTAGTCATTCCAGCTAAACCAGCAATCTCAAGGTTCACATTAGGCCACTGTCTAAAGAAGTAAGATGGACAATCATTGAGGAAACTGTCCAACTCATGTGCTCAAACAGAAGAATATCCACACAAAAAGGGAATGACAAATGAAAGGAAAATTAGATTATGGTAGAGGATTGTATCCTCCACCTGGTTGTCATTTGCCCAAGTTTGCCCTTCTGTTATTTACATTGCTGTCGAGTCATTGTTGTATGCCACTGATTTGTTTTGCCTATGCATTCTTTTGTGCATAAATTTATTAGTCTCATTAGCTTCCTGAAATTTTGTCATTATTGTCCTTAAGATTTTAAAATACTCTGTGTGTGTGAGTGTTTGCCTGCATGTAAGAATATTAACCATATCATACCTGGGGACTGCAGAGGTCAGAAGGGTGCATCAGCTCCCCATGAATAAGATTTACTGACAGTTTGAGCCACCAGGTGGGTATTGGGAATTGAACATAAGTGTTTTCAAAAGCAGCAAATGCTCCTAACTATTGAGCTATCTCTCTATTAGTGTTTGTCATACTTAAGGTGCTGTATTTACCTAGAGTCAAATTTAGTCTTATATTGAAATTGGAGTCAGAAGCACAAGGGTCTTTTTCCTTAAATGAAAGAGTTTTGACAAATGCAAAGAGGAATCAAGTATTCTCTTATATCAAGCTTATATTTCTAGAACTATTAAAATTATATCCTTATTAAAATGAAACAAATATTCTCTTTTTTCTTTGAAAAAATTTCATATTTTAAAGTAAGAAAGATACTTTGTACACAATGAATATGTGGCCATTTATCCACTAAATATTTAGTTATTTGGATATTTATGGGCTTTTGTCACAGCAAGCGTACATTTTTAAATGTCAAAACATTTTTAATGTTTAGGATGAATTTTCCTGTTTGATTAGATTGACTCTCAAATATGTTTTATTTAAATAATCAATAAAATATAATTCAATAATGGAATTTATGAAGAACAATTGAGAATATCTGTAATGATTTAAAGCCATTAGCCTTAGACATCCTATTCAGGCAAATATTCCACTGTTTAATAGGAGCACATTTATGCATGTGTGTGTGTGTGTGTGTGTGTGTGTGTGTGTGTGTACACATATATACTTACACACATACATATATATGCAAAGTCTTCAATCATATTCAACATAGTATACTGAATATTATATTGGTATTTATAGCCATACAGAGGAGCTTCCTTCCCTTGACTGGTAGATTACATCCATTGCAACTCAGATTAAGATTTTTCACAAAAATGACATACAATTCTAATGACTGTTGTGAGAGAGTTCACAATGCTGTTCTTAATTGAGACACATTATTACATTATGTTACGTTGTGTTTACATAGTATGGTGTTTTATATTATACTTCTCAAGTATCAGAGTGTTACCAATCGAGGTGATTATACAAGTTTAAGCAACATGTTTCTGAAGTATGTACAGAGACATATATGGATTATTCATACTTTTATAAGTATCTCAAATACTGTGCTTAGAGGAAGGACTTTTTGACAATTTTCCATTCATTGAGTATAATATGCTTTCAGTATTTCATACATTGATTATATAGAGCTGAATAAAATGTTTATAAAATGAAATATGTAACAATTGGCTTTATAATTTAATGTAGAAATTTAATGGAAAACTTGATTTTAACTTTTGCTAAATGATTTACCAAAGACTATTACAACAGCATGTAGTTTCTTTACAAAAGATATTTTTAAAAATAAAAATAAGGTGAAATATAAATGCTATAGTTTATAAGTTTTTTAAATAGCATATTATTAACTTGAAATATATCATTTTAAACCTGTTATTTACAAAAATAAACATTATTAATGCAGTTAATTTTCTTTCATTTTTATCTATAAAGACATTAATGGGAATTTTACAGAGGGTAAGTTCACTTTAACTAAGATGTCATGTTAACATACTAAAATTTGATTGATGCAATTTCCTGTGTAAATACCACCAGCATAATTTTATTATCATTTTTTACTTAATGTCACATTTCATGAAAAAACAAAACATATTAGTGTAAAAAAAAGACAAGGACCATAAAACATTTGTTTTTCTCTATAAAAATCTGTTAATGAAAGCTGGGTTGTGGTGGCATACAACTTTGATTCCAGCACTAGGGAAATACAGGAAGGCAGATCTCTGTGAGTTCAAGGCCAGTCTGGCCTACCAACTGATTAACAGTATAGCCAGACCTGTTACATGGAGAACAACAGCAACACAGAGTCATTTATCCACCCTCATTTATTCACATTTGAGGGTGACAGTTGAAGAGGCTTTATTCTGGGTCCTGGTTGCCATCAACAGCTATGACCAGCAAACTTTCTGATGTGGAATAAAAGCACACATCCAAGTGAACAAGGGAGTAGTCAGTTCCCTGCAATGAGATGGAATTAAATGAATAAAGAAGAATAAATGCAAGTAATAAAATGAAATGGAGGAATGTATCATTTCAAGAAGACAAGCAAATAGAGATGTTTCTGCTCCTTATATCATGAATATGCAGTTGGGAAATTGTGAAGGTAATGGAGAATCACATAATTAGCATTTAACTATGTAATCAAAAGGGTTTATCAGCTATATTAAGCAATTATTTCCCGTCAGTTCATGACTTAAATTATTATAGCCAAATCATTCTATTTTTATACAGTTTCAAAAATTGCATCATGAAAAATTCTTAGTACATTTTAGTGTTTTATTTGTGTAGAAAACATTTATTAATTTCTAAGGCGAGTGTTATATTTTCTCATGTTAACACTATAGCTAATAGTACTTCCTCATTTGCTTTTCCTGTGTTGTTATGCAATAAAATTACAGTACATAATATCCTTTCTTTCCAATTCGACCTGTAAAATCAAACAATGTCATATATCTGTGTATATACAATGAAATACTCTACTAATAGGTTGTGCTAAAGAATTATTTTAGGTACTTCCCTGGCAGGTGAAATACCATGATCATTGATGTGGTTTTCCAAAGCCAATGCTTACATACTGCACTCTAGATGTAATGACCCCGGCAATCTCCCAAAATGTGAAAAACTCAACATCATATAATTTATGGTAGTAGGGAATTGTGTTCATGTTCCCTCTTCAAAAAGGAATTATTATACCTGGAGACTTCCACATTTATATTTTCAGACTGAATACAGAATATGTACATGTTAATGCATATCTTATTGTTCATCTTAATTAGTCACTGTTGCTATTATAAAACACTATGACTGCAAACAACTTGGGGAGGAAATGGTTTATTTGGTTTATACTTCTACTATAGTCAATTACAGAAGGAAGTCAGGATAGGTTCTGATTAAAGGCAGGAAACCAGAGGCAGAAGTTGCTATAAAGGTTATGGAGAGGTGGTAATTACTGGCTTCTTCTTCATGGTTCAGCCAGCTAAGCTCCAGGGACAGGTCAGGATCTCACTGATAAGAGATTTATACACGGGTCAGGCTACACAACTGTCACAAACATGCAAGCTGTGTCAGTCCCATGCAAGCTCTCTCTTGGTCTAGATTCCATGTGGTCTCAGAATATCAGGTCAGCAGTCTCTGTGTTGGGTTCTTCCATCATGACCTTGAAACCCTAGCTTGTTTAATCCCCCCTCCCTTTCTTGAGGAGGACTCCCAGAGCTTGACCCAGTGTTTGGCTGTTGATCTCTGCATGTGCTTCCATCAGTTAGATTGATTCCCATTTTTCTGAGAAACCACCATATTGATTTCCAAAGTGGCTATGCCAGTTTGTACTCCCATCAGCAGTGTTCCCCTTACTCTACATCCACTCCAACATAAACTGTCATCATTGTTTTTGATCTTAGCCATTCTGACATGTGAAAGATTGTATCTCAGAGTCATTTTGAATTTCATTTACTTGCTGACTAAGGTTGTTGAAAAATTAATTGTATTTTGGCCATTTGAGATTCTTCCATTGAAAATTCTGTTTAGATCTATACTCATTTTTTAACTACATTATTTGGTATTTTGATATTTCCTTTCTTGATTTCTTTATGTATTTTGGATATCAGCCTTCGGTCAGATGTAGAGTTTGTGAAGATCTTTACCCATTTCATAGGCTGACATTTTGTCTTACTGACAGTGTCCTTTGCCTTTCAGAAGCTTTAGTGTTTATTGATGAAGGATAAACATCTCTTGTGTTTTGCATCATCTTTCCTTAGTCCTACTTTATCTGCTTTTAATTCCTCATTTATAGCATCAACTCAAGGTCTGTGTTGGGATTTTGATGGGGATTGCATTGAATCTGTAGATTGCTTTTAGCAAGATTGCCATTTTTACTATGTTGATCCTACCTTTCCAAAAATATGGGAGTTCCTTCCATTTTCTAGTATCTTCTTTAATTTCTTTCTTTAGAGACTCAAAATTCTTATGGTGCAGGTATTTCACTTTTTTGGCTAAGGTTTTCCCAAGGTATTTTATGCTGTTTGTGGCAATTGTAAAGAGTGATGTTTCTCTGATTTCTTTCTCCATTAATGTATCCTTTGTATGTAGTAGAGCTACAGATTTGTTTTTAGTTAGTATTGTATCCTGCCACTTTGCTGAAGGTATTTATCAGCTGTAGGAGTTCCCTGGTAGAGGTTTTCAGGTCACTTTTGTAGACTATCATGTCATCTGCAAATAGTGAAAGTTTGACTTCTTCCTTTCCAATTTTTATCCCCTTGAACAATTCTCAACTTTATATAAAAAAACAAAAGACCCAGGATAGGCAAAACAACCCTGTACAATAAAGGAGCTTCTGGAGGCATCACCATCCCTGACTTCAAGCTCTATTACAGAGCTATAGTCCTGAAAACAACTTGGTATTGGCACAAAAATAGGCAGGTAGGCCAATGGAATAGAGTTGAAAACCCCAATACTAACCCACACACCTATGAACACTTGATTTTTGAGAAAGAAGCCAAATTTATAAGATGGAATAAAGAAAGCATCTTCAACAAATGGTGCTGGCATAACTGGATACTGGGGTGTAGAAGACTGCAGATAGATCCATGTCTATCGCCATGCATGAAACTTAAGTCCAAATGGATCAAAGACCTCAATATCAATCCAGCCACACTGAACCTATTAGAAGACAGAGTGGGAAATAACCTCGAATTAATTGGTACAGGAGACTGCTTCCTGAACATTATACCAGTAGCACAGACACTGAGATCAACAATTGATAAATGGGACCTCCTGAAAAAAAGAAGCTTCTGTAAGGCTAATGACACAGTCAGCAAGACAAAAACGGCAGCCAACAGACCGGGAAAATATGTTCACCAACCCCACAACTGACAGAGGGATGATCTCCAAAATATACAAAGAACACAAGAAGGGAGTCTCCAAAACACCAAACAATCCAATTAAAAAGTGGGGTACAAAATTAAATAGACAATTCTCAATAGAGGAATCTAAAATGGCTGAAAGCACATAAGAAAGTGTTCAACATCCTTAGGCATCAGGGAAATGAAAATTAAAACAACTCTGAGATACCATCTTACTCCTGTTAGAATAGCTAATATCAAAAACACCAATGATAGTTTATGCTTGAGAGTATGTGGAGAAAAGGGAACACTCCTCTACTCCTGGTGGGAGTGCCAAATTTAACAGCACTTTGAAAATCATTATCATGACTCCTCAGGAAAATGAAAATCAATCTACTACAAGATCCAGCAATTCCACTCTTAGGCATATACCCAAAAGATGTACATTCACACAACAAAGACATCTGTTCAACGATGTTCATAGCAGCACTATTTGTAATAGCCAGAACCTGCAAGCAACCTAGATGCCTCTCAACTGAAGAATGGATAGAGAAAATGTGGTACATTTACACAATGGAGTACTACTCAGCAGAAAAAAAAATGGAGCCCAGGCGTTGGTACCACTCGCCTTTAATCCCAGCACTCGGGAGGCAGAGGCAGGCAGATCTCTGAGTTCGAGGCCAGTCTAGTCTCCAGAGCGAGTGCCAGGATATGCTCCAGAGCTACACAGAGAAACCTTGTCTGGAAAACAAACAAAAAAAATGCAATCTTGTAATTTGCAGGAAAATGGATGGAACTAGAAGAAACCATTCTGAGCGAGGTAACACAATCACAAAAAGGCAAACATGGTTTCTACTCACTCATATGTGGATTTTAGACATAGAGTAAAGGATTACCAGCCTACAATCCACACTTCCAGAGAAGCCAGTAAACAAGGAGGACCAAAAGAGAGACATACATGATCCCCTGGTGAAGGAGAAAGGGACAAGATCTCCTGAGCAAATTGGGAGCAAGGGAGGTGGGGGGAGGGAGCTAGGAGAATGAGAAGGGGAGAAGAGGAGGGGGAGCACGACATGAGGGTGCAGAAAGGTTGAGGCAGAGGAAGAATAGAAGAAAACAAGAAAGGAGATACTATAATAGAGGGAGACATTTTAGGTTTACAGAGAAATCAGGCACTAGGGAAAGGTCTGGAGATCTACAAAGATGACACCAACTAACAATCTGAGCAACAGAGGAGAGGCTACCTTTAATGTCCTCCCTTGGTAATGAGATTGATGAATGTCTTATATGCCATCCTATAGCCTTCATCCAGCAGCTTGTGGAAGTAGAAGCGGACACCCACAACTAATCACTGAACTGAATTGGAATCCAGTTGCAAAGAAGAAGGAGTGATGGGCAAAGGGGTCCAGAACAGGCTGGTGAAACCCAAAGAAACAGCTGACCTGAACAACGGAGCGCTCTTATTCCCCAGACTGATAGCTAGGATACCAGCATGGGACTGATCCAGACCCCAGGAATCTGGGTTTCAATGAGGAGACCTAGGAAATCTATAGGACCTCCTGTAGATAAGTTCAGTACTTATGCCTAGCATGGGTGTGGACTTTGGGAGCCCATTCCACATAGAGGGATACTCCATGAGCCAAGACACTCCGAGGTGGGCCTAGGCCCTATCCCAAAGGATATGATAGACTCTGATGACTTCCTATGGAAGGTCTCACCCTCCCTGGGGAGCAGAAAGGATATGTGATATTAGTTGGGGAGTGGTAGGGGAGGAGGGGAGGGAATGGGACCTGGGATTGACATGTAAAACAATCTTGTTTCTAATTCAAATAAAAATAAATAAATAAAATAAATCTGTAAAAAGAAAAAAAGATCAGCTCAGTATACAGAAGAGTAATAGTGTCATCAATTATACACTGAATAGACTTAAACTATTTATGGAACCATCTAATTACTATGTCTTGTGATCACAAATTGGAAAATTCTTTACTTCTCCTTTTTACTTTTATTAGTTTTGAACTCTACCAGTTTCTTCAATTATATCCTAAAATATAGTAGATACAGCTATCATTTGCTGTAATATATTATTTCACCTTTAGGATCTTAATGGTTTTCTGTTTCCATTCTTTAGTTTTTATGTGGTCTGATATGGATTAGAATTGTTAGGCAACTCAGTCAGGTATCACCCATGGGTTTTAGCAGCTACCACATATGCTAAATAATTTGGGGCATGTATTTGTTGCTCTGTTTTTGTCTGGTTTCTCTGACAAACCATTCATAGGAATCAAAACTCATTAAATTTACTAAGAAAACAATTCATACCAATAACAAAGATTCTATATGAAGTTCAAGTTTTCAAAAGTTTGACCAGTGACAGATAGACAACAGAGAGAAGCAAACACCAGTTTGAAGGCTTTTGACACTATTGTTGTGTAAGTTCACCCCCCGCCCATAGATTTGAGGCATTCAGCTTTCTTGGGGGCAGTCAGTCTCCCTGAGATACAGAGGAATATCTCATAAATACTATGATCATTGTAGTGTGAATACTTAACAATTCAGTTTCCACTTCTGTTACTAATGTACTTTATACGTTGGAAGATAAGAGAATTCTTTTTTTTTTTTAGCTCTCAAAAGACCTTTCTTTATTCTTTCATTTTGCTTTTGTAAAAATTCTTGATTCATTTTACATACCAGCCACAGTTCCCTCTCTCTCCCCTCCTCTCCACATGCCCCCAACCCAACACCCATCCACTCCTTAGAAAGTGAATGTACTGACTCATAAGTGGGTATTAGACACAGAGCAAAGGATAACCAGCCTACAATCCATAACCCCAG